GGCGGGGGCGGCGTTCGGGAGGCGGCGCGGCCGCGGCACCGCCCGCCCGCCGAGCACAAAGGATGACCGCGAGTTACCCCGCTGCGGCAGCCGCGCTCCTGCTCCGCCGCACCTCCGAGGGGCCGCCGCCCCCGGCCCCGGGAGCCCCGCGCCGGGGCAGCCCCGGACAGCCCGGGACAGCTCAGCCCCGCACAGCGCAGCCCCGCACAGCCCAGCCCAGCGCGCCTCTGCCGCAGGCGGCGTGGCCGCTGCGCGTTCCCCTCCCGCTCCGGTGCCGCTGCCGTGCGGTGGCTCCCGGCTCCTCCCGAGGTACTCACCGCGTCGAGCTCCGCCAACGCCGCCGTCCCTGAGCGCCTCCGCACCGAGTCCCGCTGTCAGCCCAACCCGCGGCGCTCTCCGCGCCCCGGGACCCCGGGGGCTGCGGCGGGCTCCGGTGTCCACCTGCGCCCCGCTCCGCTCCGCGCCCGCGCCGGCTCAGCCTCGCCCCTGCTCACCACCCTGGGGCTTATTTTCCATAAGAGTGCGGCACCGGTCTGGGGCCTCCTGCTCCCCAGGCAGCTCGTCCTCTGCACCGCCTTGTCTCCATTCTCTGCAATTTCAAATCTCCACGCTCTTTCATTCCTGCGATACCGGCTAATTCTGGTTTGGCAGAGCAGATTTGCAATCCTCTCACATGCACACTCTTGTGGCTGAACGAAGTTTATTGCTGCACAGGTTATGGCTGGAAATTTACATCCCAGAGAGCTGGAGGATATGATCCAATAAAATCAGCCAGTATCGAGATCTTAAGGGCCGTTGAATATGTTTATTTCAGAGTGGCTGGTTGAATTTATGTATCCAAACCACCCTGACAATGCAGCTTGGGAAGTTTCTCTGTATGGTACCTAATTTGCACTATAAATAAGTTTGAAAAATATTCCACCCTTGGGAGAAGAGCTGCAAAAATACATTACTTTTTCAGACCAGTATTCGCTCCTCAGTTACATCCTTCTAAGTAACCTGACTAATGAGGTTTACACTCTGCAATTCATTGCTCTATTTGCAGTGAAGATACCCAGGCTAAGGTGACTATATGCCACCACACATAACTTTGATTCTCAGAGATTCTTGATGTCCTAGCAGTGCACTGAGTAGTATAAATGAAGGTTGTTCAAGAAGAGGTAAGAAGTATCGTGAGAGAAGACAAAATGAGGAGAGGTCAACAGGAATGTTTTGTGCTACACATACTGCCTATGTGCAAAACGTGGCACAGAATCTGTTAGAGAAGAAATGGTCAGAAGAGGGCTAAAAATATTCATTTGGGGCTTTTAAAATATTTTTTTCTGCATTTTTGCTTGACTCCTCCATCTACTGATAAATGCAAGTCTGATCTGTTTTTTTCATTAAAAATGTGCTGATCCATTATGGATCTAATTTATCAAATATATCAATATGAAACACTTCTATCTGGGTTGGGTTCAAATGTGTGGCAGACTGTGAATTATTGCTAGGGCTTCAGTCTTTACACAAAACTTACACTACTTTGCATTGTGGTCTTCAAAAAGAAATCCTTTTCCAGAATAAATAACTAGATTAGTGTCAGAATCTTGTGATTCTTCTTCTTTCAGAATCTTTCTTCATAAACAAAACTAGATTTCCATTTTAAAAGACTGTGACAGTGCATTGCAAATAGGTGTCATTCTACAGAACACACGTTCCCTGATGATTTCATCTTTTACAATAATACCTTGCCCGACAGTGTATGGGCACTTTTATCCCAGAATTTAAGTTGTAACTTGGCATTAGCTTTTTGACTGGAGTCTGTTTTCTTAAAAGGCTAAATGCTAGGGGCTTGGCACTTGAAATTAGCTACTGATTGACTAGTGTTATTACTCAAGCTTGAGACATATACACTTGGATTTATAAATTATCTAACATGCTAACATCCTTTAAGTCTGCCACAGAAACAGATTTGACTGGCTGCTAACCCAGTGCCTCCAGTACCTGAGTGCCGCCTATGTGCCTAAATCCTTGTGCCCACAGAGATTTGATCTGATGGAGAAATTACTCAGCTGTGTCATACTGCTTCAGCAGTTTTGGTTCGTATACCACAGTGGTTCTGGGCTATTGTTTTGGATTTATGTTGTCCCTTGGGAAGATGACTATGTGTGGATCTACTTGAATTCTAACCACTAAACTGTGCAGGTCTAACAGCAAGAGTACGAATTATGTTCAGTAAGGAAAAAAGCCCATTTTGTAAGAATGGAGAGCACAATCCTATGGTATCAGAAAATGTCTACAGTTTTTAGCTAAGAAGAATAAGGTATCTGATCCCCTAGAATAAGAGGTAAACAAAGTCTGACAGACTCTGGTGCCTTACAAATCTTAACTGTGTAAAATGCTTGGATGGCAAGCAGAGCAACCCCGACTAAAAAGGAAGGATGTTTTACTAGTCTCCAAAACATAAAGGTAATTAGATGACATAATATAAGTTAGAGGGAAAGAGGAATGGAGGGAGAGAGGGAAGAAGGCAGAAGTAGGAAGAACTGATAACTCAGTTTCCTTTACTGTCACTGTGGCAGTACAGTCCTAGAAGTGGTAGCTGGAAGGGATCTCTGGGATCCACCCTGTCCAGCCTTCCACTTGAAGCAGGACTGTCACCTGTGGTATTGCAGGTCGGTCATGGCCCTGCTTAAACTGCCCTTGAAAGCCTTCAAGGATAGAGACTGGCCAGCCTTTCTGGGCAGTATGCTCCTGTATAGCACCAGCCATGCATAATCACATGCATCCAGTCACAACTCCAAAGACTCAGCTTGTGACTTTTCCTTCTGGTTTTGCCATTTGCTGCAATTAAGAAGAGTCCAGCTCAATAATCTTTGCCACTCCCCTTTGAACAGTTTTAGGTTGTTGTCTGATATCCTGTTATTTTCCTCTCTGCTAGGCAAATGAAACCAAACTTACTCTAAATCACTTCACAAATTGTATGCTGTAGGCCATTTGCCATCTCATCAGCCCTCTGCATGCCCCTCTCCTGTTTCTTGATATCCTTTTTGGAATGGGGAACCCCAAACAGGACACTTTATCCCAGGTGTGGACTCACTATCACTAAATAAGGAGGGATAACAATCTCCATTCATCTGCTGTCAGTGCTCCCTTCCTAGTGTAGCTCAGACAGTGCTTCACTTTATTCACAATGAAAACACCCTGTTGGCTCATGTTCAGCTTAGTGTCCACTGTGACCCCACATTCTCTTCAGCTGATGCTCTGGCAGCTTGCACTGGTGCCTGGCACTATTCAACTGCATGTGTTCCCTTTGCACTCGTCATCACATTTTGTAAGGTTTCTCTTGCCTCAGTTTTTAAGTTTCCCAAAGACCTCTCAACTGGATCTCTACTGTTTGATTTGGAAATCACCCCTTCTAAGTTAGTATTGTCTGAAAATCTGCTGCAGGTGCATCCTATATAATTATTCCAGCTAAAATCAAGGTAATGAATAATTCTGGTACCAGTATTGACCCTTGAGTGTTCTGCTTGTACTGGTCACCAACTAATCACCCCATACTCTTCAGCTTCAAGCACTTGCTTAATCCTCATTGCTTAAAAGGGTAGCTGTGCTGTAGATCTCACAGACCATTCAACCTTCTGGAAATGCATACTGATAAAAACATAAAGTGCTATTTATCTTCCCAGCACTTTTCCTCTACTGTTGCTGTAGTGCTGATCACTCTCCTCCCTAAAGCTCTCATTAAGCTGCCACCCTGCTTCCCATGAAGTCATAGTGCTGTAGTGATTGATGAGCAAGGTAAGGTCTAAAATAGGAGCTTGGCTGCTGCAGCACCAAGATACACAGCAGAAAAAAAAAATTTTTAAAAATCCTTCTCCCAACCGCTGAACTTTTAACCAGTACAAAGTATCACCAAATGACCCGGCCAATTCTTCATTACACAAGTTACTGTTAAAAGGAAAGATAATTTATGGTATTTATAGATTTTGCCTCCTCTTTCTTCCATGAGCCTCTTTGGGTAACTGAAGAATTCTGTATATTTGCAAGGGCATGTTACATTGGTGCTGGGTAAAAAGGCAAAAGGAAAACAACCTAATATTATCACTTGGCATAGAGACTGCACAGTAGTACAGCTACCTTACGAAACCTTAAAGTTTGTGCCCTCTCTTCATTCTGGTAACTCCAGACTGCCAAACAGAAGTAATGCATATTTTCTTCTTTTCCCACTGCCTGTCTGCAGAGGATCCTTGGTATCTTTGGTGGATTCAACCACAAAACAACATTATCAAACAATATTCTGAGCAAGTATGAACATTTTCAGCAATTCCCCTGCCTACTCCCATGATAGTTGCAGAGTCTTACTCAAATGGGAAAGAATGAACTAATTTGCTATCTTCAAGTTCACTCAATACTGAGGATAGGCCATGGGAATGGAATTCAAAAGTAGAGGAAAAAGCAACGTTTTTATCATTACTTGCATGGAGATTTCCTTTTGGAGAATAACTACTTGTCTTTTCTGTCTTCTCCCTTCTCTCTCTAAGAGAGAGCATTACAGCAGCTACAAAAGGTCCTGTTCAATTTCCTTAGATCCTTTAGGAGGACAGTGCAGAATGATAGAATGGTTTGTGTTGGAAGGGACCTTAGAGATCATGTAGTTTCAAACCCCCTCCTGTGGTTAGGAACACCATCCCCTAGACTGAATTGCTCAAAGCCCCGTCCAGCCTGGTCTTGAGCACTTCCAGGGGTGGTGCAACCACAGCCTCTCTGGGCAACCTCTGCCACTGCCTCATCACCCTCACAGGGAAAAATTTCTTTGCACCATTTAATCTAAGGCTACACTCTTTCAATTAAATTGTGTAAAAAACACACTGTGTATGCTGTGAGAAATGTGAACGTTTCCTGGACTCTATTAAAAGAACCAAAGAATGTTTCTCAGCAGCTGGGGATGCTGCAGAGGTTAACAGTCCTGCCTCAGGGTGGAGAGGCTATTTTATCAGTGACTTGTCAAGATTCTTGTTAGAGGTTCTCCCAGCAACACTGAGCATTGCCTCACATGAGAAGTGCAGCAATGAAGGGAGAAAGTGAGCAGGAGCAGGATACTGAGCTGCAGAAGTCTAAAGAGCTGGCAGGGTACATTGTATGGGTAGGAGTATGTGTGGTGGCTGCTGCTTCTGAGCTGCTGCCATCCCCACACTTTTAAGCTCTTCAGAGGCAGCAGCAACAGCAAACCCACATGTCCATGTTATAGAAAAAGACGTCCACAGGAAAATGTGTACTCTCCAACTCATTATAGTTATTTCCCTAATTCAGAAAGTCACAGCACAGGAGGAATGACACTTGCTAGCAAAACAAAAGAAGAGGTGATGAAACAGTCCCTTTTTGCGGTGTTATTTAACTTCAGCTTTCTACGTTAGCAATCAAAGTTGTAAATTAAGAAGGAAGATAAACTATCTTATCAGGAAAAATCCC